GTTCAGAGTCACTCTCTTCAGATTTAGGATTGGATCACCCTTTCCCAAAATTGAAACCTTACCCCCAGGGACCCAGGAATCCTGTCTGCCTGCCTCCAGCTTTTGGTTAGAGATTGAGTTGTTCTCCTTTCCAACCAAGCCCCTGTAAGGATGGAAAGTTCTGCCTGACGGCAACTAGGTGGGCCCAGTGGATAGAGCTCTGGCCCTGAAGTCAGGAGGACCTGAGATCAAATGTGGCCTCAGACCAAACACTTCACACTTACTAGCTGTGTGACCCTGGTCAAGTCACTTAAACCCAATTGCCAAAAAAAAAAAAGTTGTGCCTATTCTGAGAACCCACTTTGGATGCAGGAACCAAAGCTCCTGCCTGGCCCCCTTATCTGGACCCCCAGCTCCTGGGCTGCTTGGTTGTTGAATCCCAGGCACTGGTTCCCTGTATCAGCTCTCCCCTGGGGGATTCCAAGGCTAAGCTCTACCAGAGGGTCACAAGAGTCCTCCCCAGCTCCTAGCTAGACCTCAGCACACAGCATCCTGCTTTGCCAGGCTCAGTGTCCATCTGGAGCCCTTCTGTCACTCCAGTGCCCCTGACCTCCCTGCCATGAGCTGGGTTAGAATGTCTCTCTCTCAACCCCTACCTGTACTCCCCTTCCCCAAGATTCTTGCTTCCCTGCCCCCTCTTCCTTCAGAGCCCTCAGGCCACTTGCCTGAGAAGTCTCTGTGATCTTCATTGTGGATCTGATCAGGTTTCAACATGGTCAGAACTAGACAAAAAGGCCACTCAATGCAGGAGATGAAGTGCAGGAAAGAGGCATAAACAAGCCTGAAACCAGAACCTGCATTTGCTAAGACAGAGACCAGAATACATGGCTTGAGGTAGAGCCTGGAGCCTGGTGTCAGCCCTGGGCCCAGTCATCAGTCAGTAAGCATGGATGAAGCACCTCCATTTTTCTAGGTAACTCACTAAGCTTTAGGGAGGTGAAAGGCAGTCCCTGCTATCACAGAGCTGCCAATGTGGCCTACAAACATGGAGGTGGTTGAGAAGAAGTAACAGATCAGGAGCCTTGCTCTTAGCTGATACAAGGAAAAGAGAGTGTTTGGGAATGGAGAGACATGTAATTTAATGGGATATGAGGATCCTCAAGGAGTGAGGCTAGTAACACTTTAAGGAGGAGAGTAGAATTAGGGAGGAAAGAGTCAAAATCAAAAAGAAGAGTGAGAAAACTTTCAGGCACACCTCAGAGACAGTGTAGGTTCAGTTGTAGAGCACCACAGTAAAGTGAATACTGCAATCAATTAAGTTACATGAATTTTCTGGTTTCTCAGTGTATGTAAAAGTTATGTTTACTATATACAGTGGTCTATTATGTGTACAATACTGTTGTATAAAATGTATACTGGGGGCCAATAGGTTGCTCATTGGATAGAGCACCGGCCCTGAGATCAACAGGATCTGAGTTCAAATGTGGCCTCAGACCAAACACTTCACACTTACTAGCTGTGTGACCCTGGGCAAGTCACTGAACCCCAATTGCCAAAAAATAATAATAAAAAAAATGTATATACTGAAACTTAAAAATATTTCATTGCTAATAAAAGCTGTCTATCATCTGAGCCTTCAGTGAATTGTAATCTTGTTACTGATGGTGGCTCTAGACAGGTATTGATGGCTGCTGAATGATCAGGGTGGGGGTTGCTCAAAGTTGGCAGTGGCTGCGGCAGTTTCTCAAAACCAGGCTACAGTGAAGTTTGCCACACTGATTGACTCTTCCTTTCACTTGAACTTATAGCCCCATTGTAGAGTTATTAATTGGCCTAGTTTGTATATTGTTATGTCTCAGGGAATGGGAAGACCTGAAGAGAGGGAGAGAACAGGTCAACATACAATAATGAAATAATTTTTCTTTTTATTTCTTTTTTTTTTTTAATATTTGGCTAGGCAATGGGGTTAAGTGACTTGCCCAGAGTCACACAGCTAACAAGTGTTATATGTCTGAGGTCGGATTTGAACTCAGGTCCTCCTGAATCCAGGGCCAGTGCTCTATCCACTGCGCCACCTAGCTGCCCCCTGAAATAATGTTTCTTAAAAAAAAAAAGGAAAGAAAACAAAGGAAAGTGCAAGAGAGAATGGCCATCTCATACCGTGGACAGAGCATGCCCACTTGCAGGGTTGTAGTTCTTGCCTCAGCTGCACAAATGTTAGCAGGTCATCCAGACATTCTGAGCTCATGGCCTGACTTGTTAATGTAATGAGAATGCTGGCCCTGCCAGTGTCATAGGGTTTTGTGAGGATCCAATGTGATTGTGTGTGAAGCTCTTTGTAAATGAAGCATCCCTCAACAGCTTGATAAATGAGACAAAAAAAAATGAAGAAAATAACACCTTAAAAAATAGACTAGACCAAATGGTAAAAGAGGTCCAAAAAGCCAATGAGGACAGGAATGCCTTAAAAACAGAATTGGCCAAATGGAAAAGGAGGTCCAAGGGCTCACTGAAGAAAACAATTCCTTAAAAATTATAATGGAGGAAGTGGAAGCTAATGACTTTCTGAAAAATCAGAAACAATAAAATAAAACTGAATGAAAAAAAAATAGAAGACAATGTGAAACATCTTACTGAAAAAACAATTCACCTGGAAAATGGGTCCAAGAGAGATGATTTAACAATTATTGGACTACTTGAAAGCCATGATCAAGAAAAGGGCCTAGACATCAACTTTCAAGTAATTATCAAGGAAAATTGCCCCAATATTCTAGAACCAGAGGGTAAAATAGACATTAAAAGAATCTGCCAATCACCTCCTGAAAGAGATCCCAAAATGAAAATTATTAGGAATATTATAGCCAAATTCCAGAGTTCTCTGGTCAAAAAGAAAATACTGCAAGCAGCCAGAAAGAAACAATTAAAGTATGATGGTGTCACTGTCAGGATAACACAAGATTTAGCAGCTTCTACATTAAAGGATCAAAGGGCTTGGAATATAATATTCCAGAGGGCAAAGGAGCTAGGATTACTACCAAGAATCACTAATTTAGCAAAATTTAGTATAATCCTTTAGGGGGGGAAATGGATATTCCATGAGATAGAGGGCTTTCAAGCATTTCAAGCATTCTTGAAAAGACCAGTGCTGAATAGAAAATTTAACTTTTAAATACAAGACTCAAGAGAAGCATAAGAAGATAAACAGGAAAGGGAAATTATAAGGGACTTAATAAGATTAAACTGTTTACATTCCTACATGGGAAAATGATATTTGTAACTCATAAGGCCTTTCTCATTATTAGTGGTTAGAAGGAGTTGACACAGACAGACAGCACAGGTGTGAGTTGAAAATGAAGGGATGATATCTAAGAAAATGAAATTAAATTAAAGGGTGAGAGAGGAATACACTGGAAGAAAGGGAAAGGTAGAATGGAGTAAATTGTCTTACATAAAAGAGGCAAGAAAAAGTTTTTACAATGGAGGGGGAGGGAAGGAGGTGAGGGGGAGTGCGTGAACCTTACTTTCATGAAAATTGGCTCAAAGGGAGAATAATGTATATACTCAACTGGGTATAGAAATCTATCTTATCCTATAAGACAACAGGAGGAGAAGAGGATAAGAGAAGGGGGTTGATAGAAGGGAGGGCTGATTGAGGGAAGGGGTGGTCAGAAGCAAAACATTTTTGAGGAGGGACAGGGTAAAAGAGAGAGAAGAGAATAAATGGGGGAAGGGTGATAGGATGGAAGGAAATACCGTTAGCAATAGTAACAGTGAAAAAAATTCTGAAGCAGATTTCTCTGATAAAGGCTTCATTTCTCAAACATAGAGAACTGAGTGAAATCTATAAAAATATGAGCCGTTCCCCAACTGAGAAATGATCAAAAGATGTGATCACTTTTGAGTTGTTATATGTATGATATAGAAATATGAAAAAATACTCTAGCTCACTACTGATTGGAGAAATGCAAATTAAGACCATTCTGAGATACTACCTCATACCTATTAGATTAGCTAATAGGACAGAAAAGGTAAAAGACAAATGTTGGAGGGAATGTGGAGAAAATAAGGCATTAATGCACTGTTGGTAGAGTTGTGAACTGATTCAACTATTCTGTAGAACAGTTTGGAACTATGTCCAAAGGTCTATTAAACCATGCATACCCTTGACTTAGCAATACCACTACTAGGTGTATATCCCAAAAGAGATGAAAAAAAAAAGGGAAAGGACCTATGTGTACAAAAATATTTATAGCAGCTCATTTCTGGGGAGCAAAGACTGTCCATCAGCTGGGGAATGGCTGAACAAGTTGCAACATGTGATTATGATGGAATACTATTGTACTATAAGAAATGATGAGTAGGATGCTCTCAGAAAAATCTGTAAAGATTTACATGGGCTGATTCAAAGTGAAATGTACTGTGTAAGAAGTAGTAGCAATATTTGTAGGATGATCAGCTGTGAATGTCTTAGCTATTCTCAGCAATACAATGATGCAAGACAACTCTGAAGATCTTATGATGAAAAATGCTATCCATCCCCAGAAAAAGAACTGATGGAGTCTCAATACAGATTGAAGCAAAAAATTTTTTCACTTTATTTTTCTTCAGTATTTTTTTTGTCTATGTTCTTTCACAACACGACTATTATGGGTATGTTTTGCATAATTACACATGTATAACCTATATTGAACCACTTGCTTTCTTAGTGAGGGGGGAGTGGTGAGGGAGCAAGGGAGAGAATTTTGAACTGTTTTATAGATGAATATTAAAAATTGTTTTTACATGTAACCGAGGGGAAAAAAAATAAATGAGGCATCCATCAGATGTAAACTAATTGAATTTTCAAATGACCGATTCTGTCCATTGAAATTTGGAGACTTTTCTCTTAAACTGGGGAAGTACAGTGTGGATCCTGCTTTCTCAGTAGTTTACTCTCTGGCAATGGATGGAAGGGATTACAATTATATATGTGTGTAAATGTGTCTTTATATATGTTTTATTGTTTCTTGCAGGAGGGGAAATTAGACCTGAAATGAAAAAGACTACTGCAAGGCTAAGCATTTCTTTGAAAGAAACTCAAGAGGAAAGTTTCATGAGGGATGGTCCTTGTGACTTTACTGGGAGACAAATCTGTGCTGCATTTCACAGAATCTGCAGAGGAGAAAAACTTTATGATTCTCGTCATTGTGAGAAAGTGTTGAGTCAACAGTCATCCCTTATTTACCATCAAAAAATTAATGCTGATGTGAAACTACATGAATGTGGTAAAACTTTTAGTGAGCACTCATCCTTCATTATACATGGGAGAAGTCACAATGGCAGGAAAGCTTATGAATGTAATCTGTGTGGGAAGGCTTTCAGGTATAAAAGCCATCTTACTCTACATCAGAGAAACCACACTGGGGAGAAAACTTATACATGTAATCTATCTGAAGGATTTTACACACAGCTCCACCCTTATTAACCATCAGAGACTCCACACTAGAGAGAAACCTTATGAATGTAATCAGTATGGAAAGGCTTTCACATGGAGTTCCAGCCTTATTAAACATCAAAGAGTCCACACTGGAGAGAAACTTTACAAATGTAATTAGTGTGGAAAAGCTTTAAGATGTAAAAATGATCTTAGCCTACATCAGAGAATGCACACTGGAGAGAAACCATATGAATGTGTTCAATGTGGAAAAGTTTTCTGACTAAACTGGAAACTTGCTGTACATGAGATAATCCACATTGGAGGTAATCCACAGTGTAATTAACGTGACAAGGCTTTACCACTAAGCTCAAATCTTGTTCAACATCAGAGAATCCACACTGGAGAAATCTTATGAGTGTTTAGAATTTGATAAAACTTTATGTACATCATCTCCTTTCCAAACAAATCTGATGAATGAAAAGTCCATTTCTAGGTAATCATTTCCTTTATTCTGGTTAGTGAACATTTAATAAAAGAATGGTCATTTAGCTATACTCTAGTAAACCGGAGGTGAATTTTGGATGCTTCTCAACACTTATATGCCCTTAGATAAATGGATGTACAAATCATGCCTAATTGGTTAAAAATTGTTGAGAATGAATATTATAAGGAGAGGTGGACTTACTCTAAAGAGGAGTTGAGGGACTTGACTCATGACTCAATTTTATACAAATAGCCTTATCTCTTCCTAGACCACCCATACCTCGGGAAATCTAGAAAAAAGGGGGAATCTACTTCCCCTCAGACCTTTCTGACTCAAACACAATGGACCAGCATTTACCCCAAGACTAAGATCTCTTTGCCTTTTGGTTAGTTCTAAACTTTCTCCCTTGGGTAGGTCTCCCCCAGGATTTCATCTCCTCATCAGCCTTGCCCTTTAGAGACTTGGCTGAATCACCTACAGGGGCTGATTTTTGAATGAAAATAGAAACTGCAGGTTGCACAGCTGAGGCCTAAATCACTAAGTGATTATTAATATGAGAAAAATTATAATTGCTTTCACATCAGAGAATCCATTCTAGAGGATATACCTTGTTAATATAATCAATAGAAAAAGCATTCAGGCTAAGGTCGTATCTTATTTGCCATCAGAGAATTCCTATGAGATTGAAATCATATTCCTATAGTGAATGTGGAAAGACATTGAGATGGTCTATAGAGCTTGTTAGACTCCAGAAAATTCATCTTAGCAACAAGCCTTACAAGGCCTCAATGTGGGAATGCCTTCAGCAGAGATATCCTGTTCCTTTACATGAGGGATTCATGGTGGAGAAAAGACTTATGAAAGTACTCAGTGAGGACCTGCCTTTCCCTGGAAGATGCAGGTCACTCAACATCACAATATTCACACTGGAAGGAATCCTTATAAAAGCAGTAATTGTGGGAAGGCCTTCAACTGGAGCTCATACATGTGCATATACTGGAGAGATGTACCTGGAGATAAATCTGATGGATTTGATTAATGATAGAAGATGTTTGCCTGCAGCACAGATCTCTTATCTCTCCTTGCTATTCTCTGGAATTCTGCATTCATTTGGGTATAACTTTTCCCTTTTCCTTTCCTTCTTTCCTTAGCTATTTGTAAGGCGTCATCAGACAGCCATTATGCTTTCTTGCTGTTCTTTTTCTTTTGAATGTTTTTTGTTGCTGCCTTCTGTACAATATTACAAACCTCTGTCCACAGTTCTTCAGTCACTCTATCAGCTCTAATCCCCTAAATCTATTCTTCACTTCCACTTCATATCCATAAGCAATGCTGTTTAGGGCATATCCAATAAAATTAAAACCTTATATTTACTATTTTCTGTAAGAGTTTGATGTAAATTTCTTTATTTTACAAATATCTTTGAATAATATTTTTAATCAAACAAGTTGCCATTTGGAAGGTATTGAACATAATGTAATACATGAAATTAATTCAAAGTTAGACTTTTGTCTCTGAACAAAAGTTTGTGGTATTTGCTTCAACACATGACAAATGCCATCTTTGATTTGGTTTTTCATCAAGTTAATTTAATAGAATACTAACAACAAAACAATAATAATTAGCATTCGTATAGTGCCTATTATGTGCTAGTTACTGGGCTTAGTGATTTATAGACATTATCTCATTTAATTCTCACCACAATGTTAAAGGGAGGTACTGTTATCTCCATTTTACTGTAGAGGGAACAGAGGCAGCAGAGGTTGTGACTTGCAGAGTGCTGGCAAGTGTCTAAAAAGAAATTTGGACTTAGGTCTTCCTGACTGCTTAGTCCAAGTATATCTATACATGTACATATAAAGTCCAACTATGTATATGTATATATCTATAAATTTATAAAGTCCAGGTGTATCCATGCAATGCATTACCAGCTGTATTTTGATTTATAACCAGCATGCAGTGAATATGCACCCTTGTACCTGGATGTGACAGGAGAACTTCCATAATCTATTGTTCAGAGATAGAAATTCATTTTTTTTTAAGCCCCCAAGACTGGCAACAAAACAAATGGGAAACTGATACATAAAAGATATATTTTTCTATTGGCAAATAACAACTCGTGTATTAAGTAGATAAGACAATATTTGTGAGGCAAGACTTCTTCTTACCTAACTTTCTTCTTTGTGCTACACTGATTATACTCTCACAGAACCCATGGAATGATTGACCTGTGCTGTCCTCCAGTTCCTTTGCAAATCTTAGGAGCCCTGGGGAAGAAGGTGCTGAGAAAAAGGTGTCCAGTTCTAAAGGGATGAAGTGGTTCACTGAGTAACCAAGACCTCCCGCAGGTGAAGGGGCGTTGCAGAGAGTGGGAAGACAGACCAGGTGGAAAGGGCAGTGAGCAGAAGCCAGGAATTCTGTGTGGCCCAGGGTCCGACCTTCCTGAGGCCCGCACCAACGGAGCTAGCTTCCAGAAGGCAGAGATATCGCAACTCCATGGGAAGGCAGAGTGAGCTATGCTCCTGGGGAAGAAGGCTTTACAAGTTTGGTTACAAGTTCGCTTCTAATATAGGAACTATTTTCATCTGATGGACTGTCTGACCTCTGATTATGAAAAGTATAAAATCTCACCTGGAACAATATGTACAGAAGTGATATCTTTGAGCCATCTTGGTCTCAAGAAACCCCATCCTTGATTCCCAAAGGGCCTCCTTCCTTGACTAGAGCTGACATTGCAGATCTTGGGGTGCAAAAAAGAGGGGAATGCCTTAGATTCTCTTGAGCTGGGGAATAGATCATGTTAATTCAAGAAGTATTTATGCATCAATCAATAAACCTTTGTTAAGCACCTACTGTGTGCCAGGTGGTGTGCTAACTGCTGAGGATACAAAGAAAGATCAAACAGCCCCTGGCAATTGTTTTTCTGATATTGCTGTCTTCATTGTTCTCCTGGTTCTGCTCACTTCACCTTGCATCGTTCATATAGGTACTCCCAGATATTTTTTAAACATTCCCTTCATCATTTCTTACAGCATAATTATATATCGTCACGTTCTCATACCATAACTTATTCAGCCATTCACCAATTGGCATCTTCTCCATTTCTAATTCTCTGCCATCACAAGAAGAGCTGCTAGAAATATTTTTGTACATATGGATCCTTTTCCTTTTCCTGTTATCTCCTTTGAGAAAAGACCATATAACAGCATTGCAGGGTCAAAAGGCATGCAAAGTTACATAGCCCTTTGGGCATACATCCATATTTTTCTCCAGACTGGATGGACTAGTTCACAACTTCACCAATGAGGCATTACTGTAGTTACTTTCCCACATCCCCACCAGCATTTCTTATTTTCCTTTTCTCCCATCTTACCCTATTTCATGGAGGTGAGATGGAACCTCACTTGTTTTTTTCATTTACATTTCCCTAATTGTTAGCGATTTAGATAATTTCTTTATATGACTATTAATATCTCAGATTTCTTCCTCTAAAAATTCCTGTTCATGTACTTTCACCATTTATCAACTAGAGAATGTACAAATTTGACTCAGTTCTCTATATATTTGAGAAATCAAACCTTCATCACAGAAACTTTACCCAAGTAAAAATTCCAGACTGCCAATTTCCTAATTTTAGTTTAATTTTGGCTGCATTTTGTTTTGTTGCCTTAAACCTTTTGCATTTTATGTAATCCAAATTACCTCATTCATCTTCTGCAAACCTCAGTCTCTGGTTTGATCAAGGACACTTCTGGTTAACTTCCTTAAGTTTGGAAACATGAAGAGATTTCTTAAGAAACATTAATCACAATCTTGACTAAATTGCATGGTACAAACCTGTTTCCATGTAAGTGAAAAAGAGATTTGTTGTGGTTGAGCTGTTTCAGTCATAGACAACTCTTCATTATCCCATTAAGGGTTTCCTTCAAAAAGATACTGAAGTGAAAAACAAAACAAAACAAAAACAAAAAATGGGCACCTAGATGGCACAGTGGATTCAGGAGGACCTGAGTTCAAATCCAACCTCAGACACATAACACTTACTGGGCAAGTCATTTAACCCCATTGCCTAGCCAAATATCTATATATCTATATCTATCTATCTATCTATCTATCTATCTATCTATCTATCTATCTATCTACCTATCTATCTATCTATATACTGATTTGTCACTGCCCTCTTCAGCTCACTTTACAGATGAGGAAATTGGAAATTGAGGAAAACAGAGGTAACTGAGTAGCCCAGGGTCATACAGCTGGTAAATGACTGAGGCTGCATTTGAACTCAGGTCTTCTTGCATCCGGCCTGGGGCTCTTCCCACCACACCATCTAACTGCCACTGAGGCAGGAATATCTACTGTTATACCGAGGCCTTCAAGAGGCTGTGGGTATGCTATATTAGAGACAAAACATCTTATGTCTTGGCTAATGATTGCTTTTATTTGTTAATGGTACATTTTCATTAATTTTGATGTTGATATAGAAATAAGAATAATTTCAATAGGGAAAGGAGAGTTTTTTCACTTATCAAAAATGTGATATTTTATGAAGTATGGTTGGAATTGGAACTAATTCATGAGATGCATTGCCAGTTTCTTTATGAGAAAAAATGATATACTTAGAGAATCCTAGAGAATCAAGTAAAAACTACTTGAAATAATAAAGAACCTTAGCAAAGTTAGTTAAAGATAGATTTCTATACCCAATTGCATGTGTATGTTATTGCTCTTTGAGCCAATTTTGATGAAAGTAAAGTTCACTCACTCTCCCTCCCCTCCCCTCTCTTCCCTTCCACTATAAAAACTTTCCTGCCTCTTTTATGTGAGATAATTTATCCCATTCTACCTCCCCCTTTTTCTTTTTCCCAGTACGTTCTTCTCTCACCCCCTCAATTTGATTTTTTATATATCATCCATTCATATTCAACTCACACCTCTGCCCTCTGTCTATATATACTCCTAGCTACCCTAATAATGGTTATATGACTTGCGAATATCATCTTCCCATTTAGGAATGTAAACAGTTTAAACTTATTAAGTCCCTTATGATTTCCTTTTCCTATCTACCTTTTTATGCTTCTCTTGAGTCTTGTATTTGAAAGTAAATTTTCTATTCAGTTCTGGAGTTTTCATCAAGGATGCTTGAAAGTCCTATATCTCATTGAATGTTTAGTTTTTCTCCTGAAGGATTATACTCACTTTTGTTGGGTAAGTTATTCTTGGTTGTAATCCTAGCTCCTTTGTCCTCTGGAATATCATATTCTAAGCCCTCTGATCTTTTAATGTAGAAGCTGCTAAATCTTGTGTTATCCTGACAGTGGCTTCATGATACTTGAATTGTTTCTTTCTGGCTCTTTGCAATATTTTCTCCTTACCCTAGCAACTCTGGAATCTGGCTATAATATTTCTGGCAGTTTTCCTTTTGGGATCTCTTTCAGGAGGTGATCAGTGGATTGTTTCAGTTTCTATTTTACCCTCTGGTTCTGGAATATTAGGGAAGTTTTCCTTGTTAATACCTTGAAAAATAATGTCTAGGCTTTTTTTTTGATCCTGGCTTTCAAGTAGTCCAACAATTTTTAATTTCTCTCTCCTGGATCCGTTTTGCAGGTCAGTTGTTTTCCCAATGAGATATTTCATGTTGTATTCTTTTTTTTTTCATTCTTTTGGTTTTGTTTTATTGCATCTTGATTTCTGATAAAGTCATTAGCTTCCATTTGCTCCATTCTAATTTTTAAGGAATTATTTGGGGCAGCTAGGTGGCTCAGTGGATAGAGCACCGGCCCTGAAGTCAGGAGGACCTGAGTTCAAATCTGGACTCAGACCAAACAGTTGACACTTACGAGCTGTGTGACCCTGGGCAAGTCACTTAACCCCAATTGCCTAAAAACAAAACAAAACCAAAAAAAGGAATTATTTTCTTCAGTGAGCTTTTGGACCTCCTTTTCCATTTGGCCAATTTTGATTTTTAAGGCATTCTTCTCATTGGCTTTTTGAACCTCTTTTGCCATTTGGCCTAGTCTGTTTTTTTAAGGCGCTGTTTTCTTCAATAGTTTTTTGAGTGTCCTTTCCCAAGCTGTTGACTCTTTTCTCATTATTTTCTTGCATCACTCATTTCCCTTCCCAATTTTTCCTCTACCTCTCTCACTTGATTTTCAAAATCCTTTTTGAACTTTTCCATAGCCTGAGACCAGTTCATATTTTTCTTGTTGGCTTTGGATATAGGAGCTTTGATTTGGTTATCTTCTTCTGACCATGTGTCCTTGGTACTACCATCCAGGACTGTGACCTGGATCTGAGTATGGGCAAAGCAACAGAGTCCTGCCTTGTGGCTAGTAAAAAGACCACTGTAATCTCCTTCTGACCAGTCATTCCATCCCCATGCTGTCAGTGGGCTGAGTGCTCCAGAAGCAGCCACTGATGCTGCCACTGCTGATTCAATCACTCCCAAGGCCTGCTCCTGGTTTGCTTAAGCAGGGGCTGTGCTGGTGTGGCCTGCACTGGACTGTGCTCCACTCTCACCCTGGTGCAACAGACCTTTCGTGCTGACCTTCTAAGTTGTCTTTGGCATCTGTGGGCTGAGAGGTCTGGAAACTGCCACTGCTGCCAGTGATTCAGTCACACCAAGGCCTGTCTTGCATTGGACTGTGTTCTGTCACCCTGGTGCAAAAGACCGTTCCTCCCAACCTTCAAAGTGATCTTGGGCTGGAAATTTGTTTCACTCTATCTTTTTCTGCATTCTGCTGCTCTAGAATTTGTTTAAAGTCAGTTTTTAAAGGTATTTGAAGGGGTTTGGGAGAGAGTTCAGGTGACTCCTTGGAGCTCTGCCTCCAAGAAACAAGACATGTGCTGGGAAATATTTCTGTTATGTGTTTTTTTTTTAATCAGTCCTGCTAACCCCATCTTATAATATTTTGTAAATTCCCTTTAGAAAACCTTTGCCTTTAGGTAAGAGGAAGTTACAACTAAAACAATACGGCTATAACTTATGAAAGTTGTTAGACTGTTTAAGTTATTTGGGGTTATTGTTTTAATGTTAAAACCTAAAATTGATAACTGACTACTGTATGTGGAAAGGAGGTGATGATGTGAAAGCCTTATCTAGACTGGTTCTGTTCATTTAGAGTAGTTCTCCTTGGGGCATGAGGCTGTGCAGCAGAGGTAGTGCATTCCACCTCGGAGGAGCTAATGTTGAAGAACATGACCCATACCAGCTCTAATTGTAGATGGGGTGGATACCCAAACATTCCTCTCTTAGGAAGATAGCTAAGGTCGCCTCCAATGTAAGACTATAGGGGGTGACCCCTATAGGGAGGTCCCACATGCCAGTTGCCATATACTTGGGACCTAAAAATAAACAAACCATATCAGGTCTGGGAGCCACTGCTACAGAATGCATTATATTATAAGGGAACCGCAATGACATCCTGGCAAGTGCCTAGCCATAGAAGGATATGGAAGAAATCCAGTCAAGGCAAAACAAATGCAGTTGATACTAAAACTAGGGGATTTGCCATCCAAAGAGTATGTGGTTTACATCAGTCTGGAGGAAGAATCTATCCTGGGGTGGGGAGGCAGAGTCATCAGGGTCAGCCCCTTCTCTGAGGTCCCTCTCAATTCCCCTTATTCTGTAAACTTGCCAGGTCCCTGGGAAATATCTGTGTGGGCAAGGTCATCAGTCTTGGGAAAAGAGTTTGTTTGGGTTATGGAATTACTAAACAATGAACTTGTCTTGCTGAGAATTTGCAAGCTTATGTATAATATAGAAATAAGTTCTAGTAATTAGTCATTACGCCATGGAAAATGTAAATTTGAGAAGAAAAGGAAAATAATTGAAAGATGTTAAGTGAAAT